CTGTAAAAAAAAACAATCCTAGAGCATCTCCAAGAGATGTCTTGTATTGGGAGTATCCCAAAAGATATCGGGCTAAAAAATCACCCTCATCTCCAAGAGTATCCCAATACGTGAGTCCAAAAAAAACTTTAAAATCTTCCATGTCATCACTGGTGGGTCCTCCTAAATTGATTTTTCTTTAATTGGGAGTGCGTAGAGTACCCAAAACTAGCTCCTATTTGGTTGGATTTTGGATGTGCCTAAATATTGGAACCTCCTTTGGGAACCCGTTGAAGGGTTGGTTTTACCCTTAATTCCCAAAATTTAACTTTTAGGAAACGGATTAGGCCTCCCTTATAGATGTTGGTTTTTTTATTGGGCGGAAGGGTACCTTGCTATCCAGACTTGCCTACATCACATATGTATATGTTGACAAAATATTGATAATGCTTCTATAACTTAATTAGATTTTGGTGTTAAGAACATTTTGACAAACTAACACAAACATTTTCTTCAACCGTCACGGCCTATGGGCTTCACCAACCAACAGCTTGAGACATGCAACCTATCCTTGGCCTACATCAAATGATATTTTCCAAATAAAAACAGGAGGATCTACCCGAGGCGCTGCAGATTGACAGGTGTTTGCAGATTTTTCGTGTTGTAGTTTCTCTATAAACGTCCAGGAAGAATTATGGCGATCAGCGGCGGAGCTTGAAACAAATTCAAGAAGGGGCCAACTTCCATGGAATTCTATGGAATGAAACACTAATACTCCCTCCGTTTCAAAATGTTTGACACCGTTGACTTTTTAGTACGTGTTTAACCATTCGTTTTATTCAAAAAATTTAAGTAATTATTTATTCTTTTCATATCATTCATTCATTGTTAATATACTTTCATGTATACATATGGTTTTACATATTTCACAATTTTTTTAATAAGACGAACGGTCAAACACGTGCTAAAAAGTCAACGGTGTCAAACATTTTGAAACGGAGGGAGTATTAATTAATTGAACTACAAGTTCTAAATAAAGGGGAAAATATAAAACAAAAGTTTTTATTATAAGAGCTATAGGAAATTTTGAGAACAGAAGTGAAAAAAAGTATAAAACAAAGGAATATTTTCAAAAGGAGGAAAAAATGGGCTCTGTGTGATCCGAACCCAAACCTGTAGAGTGAAAGGTTCACATGATGCTAACCAACTCACCAAAGAAATTCATAATTTCAAAGGTGTTTTGCTAACTTATATATATGTCTATGTGTGTTGCATTGTCAGCCAACCCTGAAGGGGCCAACAACCAGGTTGGCCTCCCCTAAGCTCCGCCACTAAATCCAATAATTTGATTGATATGCCTGGTACAGTGTCGTTATTACAACTTGTACAGTGTCGTGTATTCGAGTTTTTATGTTTTTGCTACAAATATGGATAACGTTAGCACTAAATTTTAAGGATTTGTGGAGTAAGGTCAACATGTGGCTCCATCAGTACTGGTTGGTATAGACGTTTATTTTCTTGTGTTCATTATAGGTTGTTTTCAAAAGGCGAAAAAGGGGCACCCAAATCTCAGTATTAAATATTTTCTAACAATTGTCAAAACTGGTGGATTCATACTGCTGAATATAGAGATTTTAGCTCCTGTTAGTCTTAAACATTTTCTTCCCACAAGGATAAATATCAACATTTTTGAAATTTATAATATTAAATTGACACATAACATGTGTTTATTCACATTGGAAAAATATAATATGATAATTTTGTATATTCTTTATTATATTAGAATATAAAAGTTAGTGGTAATATTAAAGTTATATTTCGAGTAGCCAAGTGGTGTCGAAAACGACACCTAGAGATAGGTCGAATGTCTCTTATCCGCACAATTGTTCATACTATTAATACATTAATACAGTATACACCACCTATATATAATATATTTTATCCATCAGCTTACTGGTGGTCTAACATGTAACGTGTAGCACTGTTTTTCCTCTGTTGATGCAGTTCACCAACTTCCAAGTTCCAAATCACTGGCGAATCGAGGAAGAGGATAAAAAGGGAGTAAATTGCATTGGTGATACATACACTTGTTAGCCGCGTGCAATTTAATACATAGACTTGTAAAATGCTCGTTTTAGTACACAAACTTTTCTAGTTTGGGCGAACGAGAACCAAAATAACTTGGCAATGTTAATTTTATGAAGCTGATGTTGATTAGGATATAACGTGCATACGTGCAGTGAGTATGTATAAGATATGCAATATTTATAAATTTGATATCTACTTTATCTTTCATCATGGAAATGATGAATTTCATATATTTGTAGCACTTATATCATTGCTCAGTTTTTTCTTTATCTTTTTCTACTATCACTATATTTGATTCTTTTTTTTATTGAAGAGGTGTATGTCTCATAGCAACCTTTTCAGATATATATTTACATAGTATCCTAATTAGCCCCTAATCAATCAGACTAGCCATGTAGTATCCTTTTCACCTTCCTCCGCACGCACCAGATAAGTCGTTCATGTACTAAAATGAACATTTTACAAGTTTGTGCACTAGATTACACCCACCTGACAAGTTCGCGTACCGGTGATACAATTTACTCGTAAAAAGGGCTCCAACTTGCATTGCTAGCTGACTTCTTGTTGTGCATACTCCATGTCTAGAAATATTGCTGCAATCTACTAGCTGCAATTATTATTCCTATAAAAAATCAAAGTGGGTCCACACCAATTTGAGCCGATAGATCGATTTGATCTCGATGGTTCGTGTTCATCCTCACATGGTATTTGGTATACTGGACTACTCTGTCTTAAACAAATGAAACAGAATTTAGTTACGAACCTGGATACTTATATGTCTAGCTTCATAGATTGGATTAAGAACTTTTTTTTAGAACGAAGGGATAGGCATTTGCAATTCTAAAATGTCACATTACCCTTCCAAAGTTCAAAAGCTGACTTTCTACCAGACGATGTTGAACGAAATGACACCAATTACCGTACGTGTTCAAACTGTTTTTTTTATATATATTTCGATTGAATTCTTGAGTGTTGCAGTGACATGCGTGACGACAACTCACCTACCTCCGTACGTATATTCATCGAGCTCTCTATATATGCCTAATGCCTCTATTATCAGAAGAAGGGGTGAGCCGCAAATTATAATCAGCTTGTTGCTAGGTAATGCCGTGCCTTACAAGCATGCAAGCTGCCACCATTGTCATTATTTATCTGGGTAGTTCTTTCTTCCTCCAAAAATATAAGGTGCTCTTAGTTTAAAAAAAATTAACGTTCATAGCTTTTAACTACTATTTTAGATAATGTAAGATTTTAACTACTACTCCTTCATCCCAAAGTATCGAGGATTCTATATGTAGCACTAAGTCAAACTATCCTAAACAATACTAATATTTACAATCAAATGAACATCATTAGATCTATCATGAAATATATTTTCATAATTACTTCTTTAATGTGGTATATATTAATAGGGAAAATTGTATATAGTTTGACTTTGGACACCTTTATATTTTGGGATGTCATAGGCTGGGGATAGATCATGCAGGTTTTTTTTTTTTTAAGAAAAGGCCAGCTGCCCAGCTTTTACAGAAAGCCAGATAATGCAGTAGTTAATCAACGACATGGATCCCATGTGATTTATGGGTATTCACTTGAATTAATTGCCCAAGAATTTTGGTAGAAGAAATCATATATATACTACCTCCATCCCAGGTGAAAAATGGTTGTGATTGGTTGACATAAAAAAATATACGATGAAACCAAATGAGAGATAGTTGAAATGAAAAAAAGCAAGTAATTAATTAAAAAGTAGTTATATTACGAGAAAAATTTAAATGTTAGAAGTAGCTATAATATGAGACGGGTAGTTCTATGTCTAGTGTGCATGCATGTAATAATATAGGTTTACTTAAAAGCCGAGTGATCGCTTGAAGATTAGGAGCGCCACATCAGCGATTTTTGCAAAAAAATACCCTGTGTTTTTGTTAATTACATACCGGTTCCCTCCAACATCGTCCGTTCGATCTCACGGTAGAGTCCATCTAACCGTCCACGTGTCTAACTTGGCGGCCCTTTTTCAGCCGTGGGATCGTCGAATCGCGAATGAACGGCATAGATTTCGTTCAGCCGGACCAAATCCTAGTTAGGATGAAAGATCAACGTATGCAACCCAAAGAGATAAAAGAAGCCCTTTGTAAAGTCACATAAGATCAAAGCTAATATAGTAACGATAACCAGTGGCTCCACGTCAGCATGTTTGCCGCTTATTGGCTGCATGTGTACGTATTTCTGCGTGCTATCTACTGACATCGTTTAATTTTCTATTCTCGATTTTTTGATTCTATGATTGATTGGTCGATAGGAAGACATATAACAGCGTTCACAACTGGGAGAAGCTATCTCCTAATATCTTCTCTTTTTTTTTCCCATTCCCAGTTTTGGACCATCTACGATTGGTTGGTAGGAGTTCACACCTAGGAGAACCGGAGAAGGAAGGCTCAGTGCTGTCTGCCTTGAGAGTTGAGAGTATACAAATATCTGATGTAATAATTACTATAGCTCACTGACGTAGGTTTATTGTACCTATTCTAATTAAGGCAGCTTTCACCTCATTAAGACCGGTATCTGTTGAGACTTGAGAGTCTAGAGTGAGGGTAATGCTCCACAATTAATAAATTCCCGTATTATTTAATTCATTCAAAGTACACGTACGAGAAAACCCTAGTCCTTGTACTACAAAATGCGTGAACTTTTCTTGTGATTTACATAGCGGCAAAATCCTGCAGCCGCCATCAACAGCACATTAGTTGGATCGATTTTTCTCTCTTAGAAGACGAAAATTCTAACGCTGCGATTACAGTATGGAGTTATGGACGTTGACAGTACAATTGTACAAATTGTGGTTGTGGGGATCAGATCTTTCGTGTACCCACATGCCTAGCTATCTCGTATGCACATCCGTCCCGGCCCTCTCTCCTCTATATAAAGCATTCGCTACGACTAGCTCATTGTGCCACACCACCCAACACACATCTGCTACCATTTTTATCGGAATTACTACGTACGCACGCACCCGCCTCAGTAGTTCAAGAACACATATACACACTTCAAAAATCTTGCTAGCTTAAATTACTTTGCATTTTAACCATACGGATAGATTGATCTACCGATCGGCTATGAAGATCACGGTGCATTCATCCAAGGCCGTGAAGCCGGTGTACGGCGACGCCGTGGCCGCTCCGAGCACCGCCGACGTTGTGCCGCTCAGTGTGTTCGACAGGGCGAACTTTGACACGTACGTCTCCGTCATATACGCCTTCCGCCCGCCGGCTCCGGCCAACTCCGTCCTCGAGGCGGGCCTCGCCAAGGCGCTGGCCGAGTACCGCGAGTGGGCGGGCCGCCTCGGCGTGGATGGCGACGGCGACCGCGCCATCCTGCTCAACGACGCGGGCGCGCGGTTCGTCGAGGCGACGGCCGACGTGACGCTGGACAGCGTCGTGCCGCTGGAGCCGACGCCTCGGGTGACGAGCCTCCACCCGAGCGCCGACGACGACGGCGCCGAGGCGGAGGTGATGATGGTCCAGGTCACGCGGTTCGCGTGCGGGTCCCTCGCCGTGGGCTTCACCGCGCACCACATGGTGTCCGACGGCCGCGCCACCAGCAACTTCTTCCTCGCGTGGAGCCAGGCCACCCGCGGCGTCGCCATCCACCCCGTCCCGGTGCACGACCGCGCCTCCTTCTTCACGCCGCGCGACCCGCCACGGGTGGACTACGAGCACCGCGGCGTGGAGTTTAAGACTTGCGAAAAGCTCGACAGAAACGAGAACAACGACGACGGCCATGGACACGGCCACGACGGCGAGGTGGTGGTGACACACAAGGTGCACTTCAGTAGGGAGTTCATCTCCAAGCTCAAGGCGCTCGCGTCGGCCGGTGGCGGCCAGCGTTCGTACAGCACCCTGCAGTGCGTGGTGGCGCACCTGTGGCGCTGCATAACGATGGCTCGCGGGCTCGAGGGGAGCGTGGCCACGAGCGTGTCCATCGCCGTGGACGGGCGCGCGCGGATGAGCCCGCCGGTGCTGGATGGCTACACGGGCAACGTCGTGCTCTGGGCACGGCCGACCGCCACCGCGCGGGAGCTCGTGACCATGCCGCTGCAGCACGCGATGGGTCTCATCAACCGGGCGGTGGCACGGATCAACGACGGCTACTTCAAGTCGTTCGTCGACTTCGCCAACTCCGGCGCGGTGGAGGAGGAGCGGCTGGTGGCGTCGGCCGACGCGGCGGAGATGGTGCTGAGCCCGAACATCGAGGTGGACAGCTGGCTGCGGATCCCGTTCTACGAGCTTGACTTCGGCAGCGGCCAGCCATTCCTGTTCACGCCTAGCTACCTGCCGGTGGAGGGTCTTCTCATCCTCCTGCCATCTTTCTCCGGCGACGGCAGCGTCGACGCCTACGTGCCACTCTTCAGCCACGACATGGACACCTTCAAGAACTGCTGCTATGTACTCCCTGAACTCAGCTAATTCTGCTGGCGGTCTTGGTCGTTGACTGCACGAAGTGTCCCATCTTTTTTATTGTGTCTTTCAAAACGTCTATTCATTTCTCTAGGGGATGTCATCTTGTTTTTCCATGTCGCTTAAAAAATCATAAAAGTTTTTAAAAAATAAGTAAGAACTAAAAAAATTATAAGCCGTAAAATCCAGCGTGGGTTTAGAAAGTTTTGATCCCTTTGTTATATGGAAATAGCTTTTCTTCATATTTGCGGTGGGTACATTAGGTATATTAGCGAGTCCATTTCATCTTAGTGTCTATCCACCTAAACGTCCATGAGATTGTTCGCTTCTGTTGGCTGTTGCAGCGGTAGCGGCTGTGGCCATTGAAAATGGCTGCCAGCGGCAGTAGCTTTTGGAGCTCCCGCAACTGCAGTGGGTGCGACAACAATCACTACCGATCAGCCTCTATATAAAGGATTATGTATGGGCAATATTAAAACTGTACTTTCAAGTAGTACATTGTTGTATTTTTCACAGCTTTCGCAGTTACCGGAACTATATGTATGAGTCAACAACTACTACAATTGAATTGTTTGGGCCTACTGCCGTACTCGTTATCAGTGGGAAATCAATATGTGGTATATCGTTGTAGAAACATGCAATGTTTAAATTTAACTTATGCAAGTAGAAACAAATATACTCCATCCGTCCCAAAATATAAGCATTTTTAGACTCTGGCCCAGTCTTCAAGATGCTACATAGACTAACAATATCTATAAAAGTAGGATGTTTCAAATAATAAAAGTCGTATATTATGATAGTTTGTTTATTGATAAATATAGTAAGATCAGTTTTACATCATTGACCTTTTTTTATTTTATTGCTATGAATAGTCAAAGTTAAAAATCTTTGACTTGACATTATTCTAAAAATGTTTATATTTTGGGACGCAGGGAGTAACAAATTTTGACTTTATATAAAACTTGTAATTCGCAGTTAAATTTATTATTTCTGTTTCTGAAGTATAAATCGAATTTAAACTTCTATGTTTATGAAATGCTATATCACATATTGATCTATATTCTTTATTTTTTTTTCAAATTCAAATTTTTCGATGGTTTTTTAAACGACATGTAGTTTTGTTCGGTAGATCCCAAGGGGAAGGGATTGGAGGGGAACAGAGAGGAATGAATAGTTCCCCTCCAAGTCTCCCTCAATTTGTTTGTGGGAGGGATTAACCAAATAAGTTCTCAAGAGAAAAAAAAACCATCTGATAGTATCACAGTAGTGTTCGATCTAGGTGGCTATCTACTCGTTTGTACCAATCCCTGTCGTGATAAGTCTATTAAGAGGATTGAGTTTGTTATTGGCCAGAAGGGCCTTGAGAGTCATTAAAATGGAGAAGTTTGGATAAAAGAATGAGTTCACAATAGAGAATTGTTTGGCCGCGGCACGTTCACCTCGGCTTATCAGGAAACGAGTACGCCAAAGTAGCATGAGCACACGTACTGGCGTACAGCATATCCAAGAGCAGACATCTCAGCCCCAGCCCCCAAGTCCCAGCCCAACAAGCAAGACTGCAAGATAAAGGTCAAAGGCTAACATTATACACAGCTTTAGACCCGAAAAACTGTTTTAAACCCGAAAAACGTACACCCGTTTTTTGCATGTCATCTAAATAGTTATGAATTTTTTTTTAAAAAATTAACATGATAGGTTAATTTTTAATATATCACTTCACAAGCATGCAAGTTCAAATTCGACTTCTATAAATTGTAACAAAAATAACAAATTTGACTGTAAATATCTGTATACTAGTTAGAGTTTAATTTGTTGTTTTTGTTACAACTTGTATAAGTCGAATTTGAATTTGCATGTTTGTGAAATAATATATTACATATTAACCTATCTTGTAATTTTTTTTATAATTATTTAGGTGGTATGTAAGAAACGGGTGCACGTCCACCCGAGATATTAGAATCCATCCTCCTTTAGACCCACAAGGCCACAACGGCGCAATTTTTTACTTTGGTTTTCCTTTCCTTCAGATAAAATGAACCGCTTGAAAGCTACCGATCGATCGTAGTAGTACTACAATATTTCAAGTTTTTTTTTACAGATAACTTTATTTATTCAATTCAACTTTCATCGGCAGAACATCTCGCGTAATTAATTCAATTCATAATAATTGAATCAACAACATCAAACAAATACTAATTAGCTAACTAGTCTCAATCAAGTGATCTAGCATTAACTGCATGTCTTGTTTTTCAATAATATAGTTCATGCAAGGCTAGTAGTTTGGTCTTTGTCGAATGAGTAGCAGCAGTTCTTGAAGACGTCCATGTCGCGGCTGAAGAGTGGCACGTACGCGTCAACGCTCCCGTCGCCGAAGAAAGACGGCAGCAGGATGAGCAAACCTTCCACCGGCAGGTAGCTGGGCATGAAGAAGAATGGCCGCCCGCCGCCGAAGTCGAGGTCGTAGAACGGGATCCGCAGCCAGCTGTCCACCTCGATGTTCGGGCTCAGCACCATCTCCGCCGCGTCGGCCGACGCCACCAGCCGCTCCTCCTCCACCGCACCGGAGTTGGCGAAGTCGATGAACGACTTGAAGTAGCCGTCGTTGATCCGGATCACCTCCCGGTTGATGAGCTCCACGGCGTGCTTCAGCGGCCTGGTCACCAGCTCACCGGCCGTCGCGGTTGGCCGCGCCCAGAGCACGACATTGCCCGTGTAGCCGTCCGGCACCGGCGGGCTCATCCGCGCGCGCCCGTCGACGGCGATGCACACGCTGGTGGACTCGCGCCCGTCGAGCCCGCGTGCCTTCGTCATGCATCGCCACAGGTGCGCCACCACGCACTGCAGCGTGCTGTACGGCCGGTGCGCGCCAGCCGACGCCTGCGACTTGAGCTTCGAGATGAATTCCCGGCTCAAGTGCACCTTGTTTATCACCACCTCGTCGTCGTCGCCGGCGGCGGCGGACGCATGGACATCCTCGTCGTCGTCGTACGGCTTGAACTCCACGCCACGGTGCTCGAACTCGACCTTGGGAGTGTCGCGCGGCGCGAAGAAGGAGACGCGGTCGTGCACGGGGCACAGGTGGAATGCGGCGCCGCGGGTGGCCTGGCTCCCACGCGCAGGCAAGAAGTTGTTTGGTTGTGCGCGGNCTGTCTTGTCCATGATTGTGCTTGCTGTTGGTGCAAGCCCCACGCACTGAGGTGAGCCTGCCACGCTGAAACCTGCTGTTGACCCTGGGACTGACGCCATCACTGCTCCCACCCGCGGTCAGTCTGCCCCGCTCGGGTGCAGGCTCAGCACCTCCGCCGTCGGCTTCAGCGGCATCACGCTGTCCAGCGTCACGTCGGCCGTCGCCTCGACGAACCGCGCGCCCCCGTCGTTGAGCAGGATGGCGCGGTTGCCGTCGCCGTCCACGCCGAGGCGCCCTGCCCACTCGCGGTACTCGATCAGCGCCTTGGCGAGCCCCGCCTCGAGGGCGGCGTTGGCCGGAGCCGGTGGGCGGTAGGCGTATATCACCGAGATGTACGTGTCAAAGTTCGCCTTGTCGAACACTTTGAGCGGGACGACGTCGCCGGTGGTGGTGGGGAACTCGCCGGGGCCGTATGCCGGCTTGACGGCCTTGGATGAGTGCACGGTGATCTTCATGTGCAGAATCAAATGTGCTGGTGAAGTGGTGAGTATATACGTTCTTGGACTGCTTAATTAGGCCGACGTGGTACGTGTCCGGCGAAGTGTACAATCGTGTGTGCATTTCCTGGATGGTGTTCAGCCTCATATATATATAGCGGTGTTCAGGAAATTAGGGCACTGTTGCTGGAGCCTGGAAGCTTAATGCACGTGTAAATCTTCGCAAGAGGTCGGTGAACTTTGCGAGGCTGAAGCTGAACAGCAATACAGCATAATTAGTGGCCTAGTTAAAAAAAGTACTCCGTACTAGTTTTGGATATGCATGTGATTTTTCTTTGTTGACCGTTGGAGCCTTCTTACAATTTTTTAAGCGATCGCAAAAGAAAAATGTGTTAATTATATGCGCATGTGTTCTTACTTGGTTGGTGTTCTCGGTTCATCAAACCTATACCTACGTGATCTTGCTAATAAAGAAGTATTGATAAATGATAACAAGGAATAATTTCTTGTTTAAAATGGGTTATATACTATCACAAATACCGTGACTTCGTTAGAAGGTAGAAGAATGTCACTGACTGAGAAACTACTACAATAAAATAAAAGACGGAGAAATAAAAGGAGACTAAGGCCTTGTTTGGATTTTAGTCCCTGTCATATCAGACGTTTGGACACTAATTAGAAGTATTAAATATAGACTAATGATAAAAACTCATTTCATAACCCTAGACTAATTTACGAGACGAATCTATTGAGCCTAATTAATTCATAATTAGCCTATATGTTGCTACAGTAAACATGTGCTAATTATAGATTAATTAGGCTTTTAAAAATTTGTCTCGCGAATTAGATCTCATTTATGCAATTAGTTTTATTATTAATTTGTGTTTAATACTTCTAATTAGTGTCTAAACATCTGATGTGACGTAAACTAAAATTTAGTCCCTAATCTAAACACCACTTAAAGATAAAAGATGGAGGGAAGAAATGAAATAAATATCAGACGTTAAGGCAATAGTAAAGGTTCACCATATTTCCTTTATAGACATAAAAAGTTATTCAATCCGTCCCTAATATAAGGGATTTTGGAGAAATGTGACATTTCATAGTATTAGAAAATATCACATCCCTTTAAAATCTTTTATATTTTGGGACAAAGGGAGTAAGATGTTAGTCGGAATATCATGCGTATACTTTTGACCAAGTTGAGCCAGAGCTCAAGATTATACTTTCAATATTGTTTTTTTGACAATAAATTGTGGAAGTATATTTTCTATTATGCATATGAGAAAATTGTGTAATGACGTTAGTCGTGTAATCTGCATGGGTCACTACACTACTTATATATACAACAAAATATTAGTGAAGTTATTGGAATTAGCATTTTTCCGTGCAAAATCACAGAGCTAAAAGGTAAAATTAGATATGATATACAACTGTTAGCTTCTAATTTTCATAAATCTAGTTGTACTCACTCTGTATCTAAAAGATTATAGTGTTCAAAATTAGATACAGTCCTAATTAGATATGAAAAATCCACTAGTTATACAATTGCTAAGAGCCTATTTGAGGGAGCTTCTGACAACTCCATCATATCTTAGAATCAAAAACTCCCTCAAATAGTGTAGTTTTTTTTATTTAGATTATAAGAAGTTATAGTTAGAGAATCTATAAAATAAACTAAAAATTCAGATTCACCAGATTCTCAGAAGCTGACTAACAGCCAAATATTTCTCATGATCTTAAGTTTCTTCAGAAGGGCCATATATAGTCTCCATGGAATAGGTGGTGATTTTAAAACAGTGACGGCGAATTTGAAGTAAACTTTCAAATATCATTATCCATAGGCCTTTAACAAAGACAGCTAAGCGAGACGTGGAAAATTGACCGGCCGGTCTAAGCATGGGCGAGCATATGAGACAGTAAATGTCTAAATTATTGTGCTAATAGTGAATTTTCGCTACGTCTCCAAGTAGATTTGATAAGAACTTCTAGCTTTTGTTTTTACAGATACAGTTTTATATTGCATATGATTGATTCCGGAAGTACTGATATAGTTTGGACCCACTACGATCTAATGGTGCAATTTTCTTTTATGTATCTTAAATTAATGTGGTGGTTTTTAGTCCGCACAAGAGTGAAGATGAGGACATCTCTCAATAATAATATAACTAGTGGATTTTTATGTGTAGTTTCGCATGGGGCTACGCTTTCAATGGTTAACTGGATTGATATACAACTCTTATACAATCATTGATATACAAATCTTATCGACTTTCAATGGTGTGACATGCTACGTCAGTGATACGTAGAATCCTAAAGGTGTCATGACAATTTTGGACGGGAATGACACTATAACAAGTTTGGGGATTTAAAAATGTTTTTTAAGAGTTTAGAAACCTTATTAATAATAACTAGCTGGGTGGCCCGCGCAATTGCACGGCTAGCACCCATATAAAATTATATATTTTTAATATGATTTTACTTAAAATTTATTAAATAGTTATTTCGATGTCTTAAGATTTTGAAAAACCAAACCTTATCATCCTCGTATTTCTAATTTTATAGTTTTTAAAAGTCACACCAGTTACTATCCCTTACTTCTATCATATTATTCTTTATTAGCTTGCTTGATCTACCACTGTTTCTATTTATTCTCCTTGGAACCTTTAAAAATTGGATCTAAACTATAGAGTTTATCGTCCTGTTAGGCTTCATTTTTATAATTTCTATAAGTCCCATCAAACGTTACCATTATACTCCTCTACAACCGTCCACTACATACCTTATAATTCTTGTGTTTCTAATGCTATAGTTTTTAAAAGTCACACCAGTTGCTACCCCTTACTTCTGTCATATTATTCTTTATTAGCTTACTCGATCTACCAATGTTTCTATTTATTCTCCTTGGAGCTTTTAAAAATTGGATCTAAAAACTATAAAGTTTATTGTCATGTTAGGCTTCTTTTTTATAATTTCTACAAGTCCCGTCAAAAGCTGCCATTATACTCCTCTACAACCGTCCACTGCATCTTCTTTTTATTGTCGTTACTATTTTTAAAATCGAACATAATTATCGTTTAGGTTCATTTTTTTACTTTCTAGAAGTTCCGTCAAAACGTCAGCGACTTTGTCACTGTACTCCTATACGGCTCACCCGCTGCCACTCTTATTTAATGTCATTGAGATTTAAAAATCAAACATGATTATTATTGAGGTTTTTTATTTTTACATTTTGAAGCCCGAACCTTTAAAAATTTAACCTTATAGTTTTTAGAGTTTATTGTCTCGTTGGGTTTCATGTTTTTTTTATAATTTTTAGAAATCCCGTCAAACGCTACCACCATACTCCTCTACAACCCGTCCGCCGCATACTCTTTATTGTAATTGGGATTGTAAAAATCTAACATTACTATCGTTGGAATTCATTTTTTTTACTTTCTAAAAGACCCACCAACCATCGGCGGGTCTGCCATTGTACTCCTATACGACCCTCTCGCCGCCTCTCATTTTTATTGTAATTAAGATTTTAAAAATCAAATATGATTATCATTGGGGTTTATTTTTTTTTACTTTCTTGAAGTCATCGCCAACCGCCTTGAACCGATTGCTTCACGACCTGCCCGTCGTCTTTCCTTTTAATCATCATTACGATTCTATTTGGTGTTTTATTAATAGTTTTAGATGTCTCATCAACCGCCACACTCTGGTCCTCTAGAGGCCTGTTACTTAAATAATCTTGTCATTTGTTTTAGATGGTCTTTTCTTTTAATAGTTTTTTTATCACTAATTTTAGTTATTTATAAATTGTATTCCTAGTTGAAATCTTATTTTTATTTTTCTAATTTTAGAATTTATTTTATTTTTTGAATTGTGTTCTTTTGATATTTTTATTTTTTATTTTCAATTTCAGTTGTTTCAAAACTATATTCCTACTTTAACTCTATTTTTAATTTGCCTAATTTTGGATTTTATATTATTTTTTATTCCGAATTTTAATTAATCTACTATTGGGTTCTTATATGTAGTCATGAAATAATGCTTATATTTAAATTCCGAATTTAAGTTGATGTTAAATTATATTCCTACTTGAACTCTTATTTTCTTTTCTTTTTTTTAATTTCAATTTTTTATTCCGAATTTTAATTAATCTTGTATTGGATTCTTGTACGGACTCTTCTTTCAATATTCCTTATTTTTAATTCCGAATTTCAATTATTTTTAAATTGTATTTCTACTCGAACTCTTATTTTTTACTCTTTCTATTTTCAAAATTTATTTTATTTTTATTCCGAATTTCAATTAATCATGTATTAGGTTCCTATCTGGACTGCTCTTTCAATATTGCATATTTTTAATTCCGAATTTCAGTTATTTTTATATTGTATTTCTACTTGGACTCTTCTTTTCTTTTTCTCCGTATTAATTAAGGAGGCAGTATTGTTCTAATTTTTACATAGACATGAATTCGTTTTTAAGGAACGCAAGCTGTGGATCAATACATTAATTTTAATATGAGAAAAAGTTCAAATACTTCATATAGACAAAACGAATTTAAATATCCCGGTTAGAAATAAACTTTTCCTTTTCAGATTGGTTAGTTTCACATATATGTACAGGCCGTTTATTTAGTCGTATTGATCTCGAACTCTTTTTTTACTCTGATTCCTAAGTACGTTTCTCCTTTTTACTCCGATTTTTACTCCGATTCCTATTTCTAGTATGTTTCTTTAAGCTTCCGTGGAAAGATTTCCATTAGCTGTACAACTCTGATATATTTATCTATTAGATCTGAGGCGCTAAAATCTAGATATACTATGATCTAACGGTTAATATTTTTCTACTTTTCTCCGATTAATGTGGGAATTTTTAGCCTCCACAGCGAACGTGGTGCCTTCTTTTAAGGCTGTTTTAATAATATAATAGATATGACCGCCCATATACTTTATATTTTTTAGACTACCATCTTATAGGCAGAATTTACGTATTCAACATATCTAAAAAGTACAATTGTATGTTATATATAATACTAGCTTCTATTTCTAATTATCAGTATACAATTATACTTTGTATATATACAACTATTATCAATCAATCTCCACTG